CAGCGGAATAGTTTAATGTCACAGTATCACCAATGTAAGGCACCTTTATTTCATTGGGTGGACTGGATGCAATGTTGGAATTCACTTAAGAGACAAGCAAAAAAAAAAAAAAAAAAAAAAAAAAACGAAAAAAACAAAAACAATTAGGACTACAACTTTGATCAAAATTTTATTGAAGCTGTTGTTCTTTTTTGTTTATCTATGTGTATTTAACATTATCACTTACCAAAAACTTTGACAAAGATTCATACAACTCTCACGACATTTGCCGGTCGGTTGGTTCCCTGACAAAGATAATCGTCCTCTGTTGTGTTTTGAATCGGAAGGCGGGAACCATTGATAACATGACTGTTGATGGGAAGCTGCCTGCCCGATCTCGTCCATGTGATCACTGGGTAGGGGTACCCAAAGATGTCACATTGCAGCACGGTGTCCCATGTCTTGTAAGCGGTTACGGAACGCTCAGGTTCGATAACAAATTTTGCTGGTACTGCAAAGAGATTATCAAAGTAAAAAAGTCGATGATAATTGAAATTGAAAGTTGGATCAACTTTGACATTCAAGAGAAAGCAAATTATCGAAAATTCATGAAACTAAGACGCTCTGATGGTGCTCTGGGGAGCTTTGTCTAGATTTTGATTGAAGCATGGCATTTATCGCCCCCGTAATTTTTTCACTCGCCCTTTATACAACAAAAAAAAGCCTTTTTAACAGTGAATCACGAGCTAGAAGTAGTTGGAACTTAAGAATTCAAACCGAATGTTTTGAATTTGTTCAAGTAATTACTTAAATATTGACAGAAAATTCAACTCTTCCCAAAGGATTTTTCGCTGCACAGGTGTAGACACCACGGTCCAGGAATTGAATTTTCAAGTAATTGAAGAGTCCTTTCTCCAAAGTACCTTCTCTGCTTCCTATCAGGTGTCCATTTTTGTACATCGTGATCTTGGTTTGCGGGAAGCCATTTGCTTTACCAGGAATTAGGACACTTTGTGTCTCTTTCACTGTTGTGATGCAGGAGGACTTTGAAGGGAAGTGTTGCAGTTCTGAAAAAANAGAAACGGTCTGTTTCTAGCGTTAAAAAAAGCAGAATGAAAAGGCTTTTTTAAGTAAGTATGGTTATGAAGACAATTTTGAAATAAGGTAATTTGGCAATATCAACTAAGTTGAAAATGTAAATTGGCCACCGTAAAGAGTTAAAAAGCTTAAAATAAGAACAGCAATAAATGAATATTCACTGCACGACTTACCTACGTGACCTCCTCCGCTATGGTTTGTTCTCTGTTGCGCTGGTTTGCCAGGGGTCCCGGTGGTGCTCTTGTGCCGCGTTTTCCCTGAGGTCCTGGCACCCCATTAGTCCTTTTCTTCCCCTCCTACCGCTCGATCCGGGTGGGCCCTGGGGACCAGTGCGTCCAGGTATACCGGGAGGACCCGGTAAGCCTTGAGGTCCTACAAGATGAAATATGTTACCTTCTAGCATTTTTTTTTTTTTAAATTTGGTAAGCTGTTTTCAATATCATTGAGGAGGTCCATGGGCATTTGTGAAAAAAGCACAAGAAAGAAAACTTAAAAAAAAGACTTACTCTTCGTTGGTCATTTGAGTTCACGTAGACGGTTTTACATTTGCGGCACATGGAGGGTCGTTGAGCAGCTCTCCGGACGAGACCAGTTTCTTTCTTTAATGATCCACTTGGGTGAGTATGTAGATGTTGATTCAAATACTACAGGATTGGAAAGCCGATACGTAGCGTTTGTAAGCAGTGAGTTTTGCTCAAGTGTTGTTAATAAACGAGCTATTCTCTGCATCTAATCAATGCAGAGAACAGCTCGTGAAACCAAGTGAGCCTAACGTCAGGATTAAATTGAATGAAAGGCCAAAGATAAGAAGGTGCGAATTCTTATTTGCCTTAGGCTCCATCTTCGTTGATTTCCCGTTGAAACGAATTGAAAGATCACTTGTGTCGAATGGCGAACTGATGGATAACCTCATGATCAGGTTTGTTGCTTGGACCTCTGCCTAATGAAGTAACCATACGTTTTAAGGTGTGACCTTTATTCCCTTGGGAGGGGAAGCAATACTTTGTTTTGTTCCGATTTCGAAATGGCACGCGCCAGTGAACAAGATCTGCACTCATAAACAGAGTTCTAAGATAAATCGATTTAGTGCATGCAACAGGCTTAAAGTAATGCATGTTTTATACTGTAATAGACTCAAATTTACCACCGGCTAATTAAATTTTTTTTCTTGCGTGGGAGTACTGGACCAGCCAGACTTCCTGTGAGGCCAGCCTCTTCCCACCGTCCTTTATTTTTATTATTTAATCTTGGTATTCGTATCATTGATTTCTATTTTTTAATCTTGGTATTGGCATTAGTTAAAGCATTTTGTCCCACCATTATTCAACTGGGTATATGCGGTAAATATTTTTATGCATGTGTATGTAGACGCCGACTCGGCTTCGAAATAATCATAAACTGTAGCGCATTTAAAGTGCACCTAAACTCCAAACTTTTTTTCGCTTAACGAAATAAGCGTATTTTTTTGAGTATTTCTGTGCAAAAATTTCTTTATTTGCTCAAATCTTCAATTTTCTGTGCCCAGTCAAAATAAGGAAAATCGGCCCCACGACCGGGTTTAAAGAGGAATGGCTCTAGCGGGTAATGTGATGTCAAATCGAGAACACGAAAGTCTGCATTTCACACATTTTCACTTGTTTGGGAAGGTTGTAGTCGATATTGTCCGAAAATATGCCGACTAAGTGTGTTGTAGGAGGATGTAGCAACGTGCGAAATTTGCAAGAGGGTATCGCGCTTCATACATTCCTCATACAACACACCTAGTCGGCATATTTCGGACAATATCGACGACAACCTTCCCAAACAAGTGAAAATGTGTGAAATGCAGACTTTCGTGTTCTCGATTTGACGTCACATTACCCGCTAGAGCCATTCCTCTTTAAACTCGGTCGTGGGGCAAGATGGCGGCCGATTTTCCGTATTTTGACTGGGCACAGAAAATTGAAGATTTGAGCAAATAAATTATAAAAAAACAAAATACTCTGCAGGAAATGAAGTAAAACGAAACTGTGCACATGTGTAGAAAAAAATGTTTTTCGTCATTCTATCTTCTTTACATCTCGAAAATAGAAATTAGAAGTGAATTAGGGGCAAAATGTTATTTAAATTCGTACGAAGAATCATGTATTACCTAACTTATTCCTTTTACTTTCGACTCGTTAAGATTTTTTCAGCTGCGACTTGTGACTAAGATGAATTTGATTCTATTCCGCTTTGACGCGAATTCGTACTTCTCTGATGTGTTCTTATGGAAAGCTGTCGAAGCTGTGAACGGAAAGCTAGTAAAACCTGCAAATTCGTGCCATCAGGATTGGGACATACGTTCTGGTTTCGTGTTCAGTGCGCGCGACACATCTTTTTCCTATCATTGTAGTTTGATTGAACAGATTTTCACTAGGGCGCTAGTTGCCAATCGCTAACTGATTGGATAAAAAATTAAGTTTGCCACGTGACAAAGCACCAACTCTTTGTTTATCGGAAAAAAAAAGAATTTCATCGACTAGATCAATTATTGACAGATTTGTTTCAGTCCGGTTACTCATTGCACGGTCTCCATGTGCTGTGACTTAGGCGAGGTAAAACACCTCCACTTCATCAGGTGTAAATTTATAAGACCCTGCAAGGATTGTTTCACTGTCCTGCACTCCACTTAGTATGTAGCTGTGAGGAAAATTAGTGCGTGAATTAGTGTTACTGTTGGCATTATTGCTGATGTAGATGTCAAATCCTCTACCAAATGTAGGACCATAATCTGATTGCCTATAAATTGCGTATTTTGGACTTTTCACCATGCTCTTGAATGGTGGCAGTCCTTCTTTGTTGATGAGGGAAAATATGAAAGCATTGGAAGAGTAACTGTATCCACCACTGGAACCTGAATACGAATTAAATCGATAACAAAAAGTGTAAAAATGGAAGGTATATCAATGCGTTAAGAATGGAAACACAGATACAGTAAGGTTAATATTGCAGGGTGCTGAAGAATAAAAGGAAATTGACTATAAGCACAGGATCATACAAAATAGAAAAAAGACAAGACTTACGGGTTGAAAGAGATGAAAATAGAAATAAAACTGATGTATGGTGGAAGGGAGGAGTGAACTTAAAGGGAGAAGTATTAATTAAAATGAGATTATGGGAAATTTAATCACAAACGATATAATAGAAAGAATATAATCTTGAACCAGCCAGTAACAATATGAAATATATATAGATACAGCCAAGTTTTAAAACTGAGCCCGAGTTAGATAACTTTTGCTTCTCCTAACTTTATCCGTTATGGGAAATTTTATTTACAACAACTTGGCGAGTTGTTTTTATTCAAGGAAACGAGGAGTAGATGAGGTAGGGGAATAAGCATTAACAAACAAGTTCAAGGACGCTAGCAAAAAAACGACAGTTTCCTTTTTTTACCCAACAAGGAGGGGGCTTGTCATTATATAGTTCAATGGGCATTGGGAGTAGATTTAAAAGTGATAGTTGCTTAATTTTGTTTCGAAGCGACAATAAAAGCCATTGCGCCAACTGGGGTTGAGAGGTGGGACGCCGGTCCACACAATAACCTGATTTTAATGCTGTGACTTATTTGGCTG